AAAAAGTGTAAACTTGGCGTCCGAATTCCTCAAACTGGAACAAACAAGTTTTATATGAGGGGTCTGTGATGAAATTGCACCTGTGGATGTCTGATGTAAAAAATAAACCAAGATACACTGAATTAGATGGACTCTTGTGTCGTTATCAAGTGTAAGAGCACTTTTACGTGTCAAAACATGATTTTAAATTACCATAAGAAGGTTACATGTTCCCTACAGTGATCGGGTGCTATCAGCTGAGACTTAATTGAGTTACTTAACATACAAATTATACTTTTAACATAGTAAAATTACATTATGAATTTTTAACCTTAATTCTAAGCAAATGTGTTCAGATTATGGGGCTTGAGGACTTCACATTGTTTTGTGCTAAATTTAATCCACTACGGATAGGCTTATGGTTTTGAACAAAAGCTAAAAAGAGACATAAAAAGACAAAGTGACAGCGATATTAAAGACAGGGTCATTCTGCTCAGTCTAAAATAGCTTTTGAATGTGTCTGCAGAGGTAAATGTGCTTAAAGAGACCACACAAGTCTCCCCGAGGACTGCTTCCAGACCCCCAGGAGCCCTGAAGCTGCAGAGGGGCCGACAGACACTGTCTGGTCTCTCTGATGTGGAGAAGGCGAGTCAAGCTGGCGCTCCAGAGCAAAGGATCACTAAAGAATGGGCAACAGGCTCTTTAATAACACACAAAAACATCAGTGCATGGCTCTGAAGAAGAACCCCTCTTCTTCGTCTCTTCTTCTGTGCTAAACCACCCACACGAAGAGCACAAACCAACTGGCTTTGTGAATGACAGGACTGTTTGTTTATTCATGCAGAGTGGCTAAAGAAACACTGGCTGGAATCATCCCAGATGAGTCTCACATTGTAACCGATGCTGATCAACATGAAGGCTTTCTCAGATGGGTGAGGCTTCACATGTTGACAGTTACAGTAAACAGCGCTCGGAACAAACAAAGATGGAGCAAATGGAAAAAATGCACAGTCCATTAAGAGCTCAACAAACACGAGGATGGAAAAATAAGAGATCAGCGGCTTGCTGGGAGAGGAAACACGTCAGGCTGGGATGAGAAGAAAGACCCCCGGGAAATGAACTCAAACCAAATCAATTTGCTAAAACACAAGAAGAAAGAGAGCAAAGACACTGGACAGTAATTAGGTTACAACGAAACAGAAACTGAAAATGGGATCCACCAATAAACAAAAGGGGTAACCTTTCAGACCAGGGGTCCGTTCTTCGTACGTGGATTACTCAGTTAGCTGGATTTGGATATTGACGATTGGACATGATCCAGGATCGTTTCGTTCTTCAAAGCTGATCTGAGAGTTGTTGTCATGGCAACAGTTCTGCTAGCTCAAACCTGATCGGAAGCAGGTTCAATTCATATAAACAGGATTAGATCGGGTCAGTTCAAGCAAAGATAATAGAGAAAGTACCGAATTATATTTTCTTACAGTAGTTATATACACTTGGGAAAATAGTTAAAAAAAATTAACTATATGTATAAAGTTATAGTTATTAATGAAATAAATAAAGTTATATTAACAAAACTTATGCAATCTGCACCCTCGAAATGAAAGTACAAAGAGAAAATTTATTGATATGAACTTTTTAGATCACTTTATAAAAATTTGTGTATGATAATAGAAATGCAGAATATGTGACTTTTTAAAAAAAAGAAATAATACATTAATGCAGTCATGAACATGTTTTGACAGTAAATATGCCAGTGATTATGCTTCACAAAAGTTGCAGACGCCTTTACCAATATCAAAATGCTTTTGTAAACATCCAGTTATTCCATACAGCGATTAAAAAAACGGCTACTGTAATAAAGAAAATATTTTCTAAATATAGAACTAAATACATTGATATGCATTGAAATACATGATAAATACTCTTGACACATGAAAGTGTAAAGCCTGCCGTTCATAACATATGTGGAAAGTTATTGCGTGTCATATTTTACAAACCGTCGACTGCTAATATGATGTAATTTTGCTCACATGGATAATTGAATATTAATCAGATGATGTCATTACGCTGCTGTTTTGTCAGCCAATCGTTGCATTGCTGATCATGATTTCGAGGATCGATAGATCTGTCCTTCACAACACACGCAGCGATCTCAGATCAGATTATCCAAACATTCTAATCTGATCCACGAACTTGTTTGAAGAACCAAATTAGCCAGAGATCAGTTATCAAGATTAAAAGATCCAGGATCGGCAAAATCATCTTAGATCATTTAAGCGAGGTACGAAGAACGGACCCCAGAGCAATCAAACTTAAGTCAATAGTGGTTTCTGCATGAAAATTCAACTGGTAAAATGCCTTACAATAGTATGGTGGTACTATGCAGGGAAGCAAACAACTAGAAAAATGTATCTAGGTGATATGGCAAAAACATTATATCTATAAGTTGTGTAACAGATTATGGTTGATCCGTAAGCCTTATGCATTGTAAACAATTCCAGAGAGATCCTCTTCCACATCATTTAAATTAAGTGTTTGAAAGCATTTTTGCATTCCTGTAAAATACAACGATGATGGAAAAAGTTGCGTAGTGATCTACCTAAATGCTTTTATTAAGTTAGTGTTAGTGAGTGTCTTAGGGTCACTTTCTGTTACTACTTGTTTAGCTTGAATTTATGTATTCTGTGAACAAATGCATGATTAAACATTTAAAGATTGTGATCTTAATACAAATCCGCACAACATGAATGATCAATGATAATAATTTGCATATGATCATTAATCCTTCGAATCGTTGCATTCAAATCTGTGTTTGATCAAGAGAGATTCAGTTTTTACACTTTTTCAGTTAGTTACAAAAGATTAAACAACAAAGAAGTACTGAGAGAACAGTTCATAGTTCAGATATAAACATTGATGTTTATGGTAAAGATTAAAATCACTGTTTAATGGAACTTGACGCTGGTGAATGTTTTAGCAACTATATTGTGTAACCAACAGACATCCATCAAAATTATGTCACTGGAAAAATGATCCATCTATAATGAAGCATGAAGTTTTATGTGTAAATTGTTGAATTATTAACTGAAAATAAATATGATATGTTGTACAAGATGTTAGATTTCTATATTTAGTATTATCAGCAACAGTAGCAAAGATAATTTTTCATATTGAATATTTTCCTATTTTCAGCTGGTTCTTTTTTGATTTTTTATTAAAATTACAGGTTCTAAGTGATGTTTGTTAAAACCAACGATTTTTGCAGTAATATTTTTGTATTAATGAAAAGCAAAAGACATATGTCTCCTTTTTGTCTAATCCGAAAAATGGTCCAAACTGTGACTCAAAATTTGTAGTGTGATCCGAACTGTGAGATTTGTGATCCGTTACACCACTAATACTTGTTGTTATTGGCAAAAATTAATCACACCGTAGCACCCATTCCTAAACAAAACTATGTTCCTTGGAAAAACCATGGTATAATTCTTAAGTAGAAATAAGCAGAAGGAGACTGACCTGCCTACCATTAAGTAACCTTCCGTAGGTCAGGCATTTGAAAACAAAACAGACGGTATTCCTCCTCCTAAGTTTCATCCATCAAGTAAATGCTCACATGTCTATAATCTGTAACATCCTAACACAAAGCGAGTGCTAATCCCTACCGTGTCCTGTATCACTTCCCCAAAAACCATACGTACACACACTGCTGGAGCACCAGGGATTGTTAGCTAAGTAAATAAATAATGTAAGATTAAATACCATGTCTCAACCCCTGACAGAGAACCCACACCTCCCTCTGACTCCACTTCCCTTCGTATAGGTCAAAAAACATCTGGCAAATTAAAAGTTTACTTTAAAAGCCCTGCTTTAATTAGCGCAATGTTTTATTAGATGAAAAAAAAATAATCAAACGAATACACACACGTTCGAATCTGGCAGAAACGCGAGGGGTTCTGTATTGCTTATGGTAAACCATCTGTGTGAACTCTGTAAAAAGTTGAAAGTGTACAATTATTTGAGTTCCTTTTCATCACTCCGCTCTCCTAACCCTGATTACATCTCTTTAAATAAAAAAGTGTACATTGGGAATTTCTAAAACACTTTTGGCAGTTGGAAAACTGTAGGGGTCTGGAAGAGCATGGCATTTATTAGGTACATTACAAACACAAAATGGCTCCAAACATTCAATGTTGCACAGAATTTGAACTAGTCGGAGAAGGCAGATTTTTCCAGTTATATTACTTTTTGACAATTTAAATATAACATCTTCACACTTTTGTTTTATTTATTTATTTACTTATTTTTCTGCATCTTCACACTTTAAATAAATACAACTAAATTACAGACATTCAGTTGTGGTCCTCTGATTTGAGTTGTGAATTCCGAAACCGTGAAAAAAAAAAAAAAACTGAATCCAGGGTATACTGGCAACTGTACCTAGTGTGAGTACGGCCCAAATAAACCTATGACCAAATGTCTTTGCAAAAAAAAAATTATAATAAATAAGGCGGCAGCATGTCCGTGTGAATAAAGGCTCCATTTAATTTAGTGTACTGAATTGTGACAGATATACTGTATTACAACTATGATTTACAACACTTCTGTGTGGTTTTTGAATCTGATTGGCTATTAGTGTGATATTCTTCAAATAACAGCACTCATCCAGCCTCTTCACCCTTCACCCTTGTGTATTACTCCACCCACATACAGTGACAAGCAGAGGACTTATTTTGACTTATTTTGGACAAGCAGAACAATTATTTTGTTCAACTCTCAATAAATGAATGGTAAAACAAATGAATTTGAATTAAACTAACATGTTTTCTGGTTACTAAAAAAAACAGAAAAGACAATTTGAAAAAATATACCAGAATACAGTAAAAAAAAAACTGATAATAAAAATAAATAAAACATGCCTGATATCTGTCAGAATCTAAATTTGTTAAAAAAAATGTTGGTGATTTACTATTTGTGCATTAACCTGGAGGGTTTGAAAAGAGGTAAAATGTTGGCTTTACCTTGATCCACATGTTGGCTTTTCGTTCGACAGCGTTCAGTGGCTCAGCGCTGTACAGGCAGCTCAAACATTGCAGCAGGAGTTTCTGGCTCCTCTCTGAGCATACATAAACAAGAGCACAAGACAAAATGCCATTTATAAGATGTGAAAATGGCCACGTTTTTCATCTCTAATGGGAAAACAATGATGCGTTTCATTCAAAAAGTCAGATTTCCTTGTTTGCAATTATATATATATATATATATATATATATATGAGGAACATTATATATAAGGGGGAAAAAACTAAATAAGGCATTTATTACAAAATCAGTTTGGCAAGAAAATCATGAAATATGAATTTTAATTCACTATGAAAAAACTAACAAAAAACAAAACAAAAACGTGCATACTGACTACAATAACCATGTAAATTATTATTTACCTAGTTCTCCTTGTATTTGATTTGCTGGTATTTTTTTTGTGCATGTCTTGATGACCATATTTTCTTGCTTTACCACAGTTGAAACTACACATACAATCAAAACTTCACAATACGCTCAGTAAACTGACATAGGTGTAATAACATGTTTAGATAAAAGGCGAAGAGATGAGATTTACAGGGCCAGACATTACTTTTGGCCACAAGTGTACATTTAAATTACATTTATAATATAAATCTTCTTTTAAAATTTTTTTAGCAGACTAAATAGAAGCACTCACTAGTAGTTCCAGACTTTGTGGAACTTACTTTATATAATGGGATAAAAATTGCAGCAATAAATCACATCCGTTTAAAACCATTTTTAATGCTACATGTGAACAATACAGCAGGTCTGATATGAAATTTTAGGAAAGGGATGCGGTGAACAATGAGAGAGGGGTTGTGAGTTAAAAAGAGCCAAATAACAGAACAAATGCCCAGCAGGCCTCTACAGGGTTCATTGGAAAATTAGTGTAAATACCCAACCCATGCAGACACATTTCTTGGTCTCAAATAGGAAACACACCCCCAAGTGTAGAAGAGTCGTAAATTTACCGTCCGCAGTAACACATGAGTTCCAACATAGTCTTCCCAGGAACTGGCCCACAAAAGGAAACGTCTTCATGGCCTCACTAGTGGAGTTCTGTTATACAGTAAACACACAAATGCCTGAGACATAAATAGCAAGAACCTGCATATGAATAATGCATAATGACACCACATAATTAGACTCTTACAGTGTGGATAGGGCTGGGCGATTTGGCTTAAAATCAAAATCTCAATTATTGAACATCTAAACTCGATTATGACTAATGAATAATTATTTCTTTGTTTATTTTATGTTTTTGCCCTCACAGTTCACCGACAGGTTTTGTACTGTAAATATGCTCACATATTACGAGAGATTTCTGAATTAAGGGTACATTACTTGATTTTACAATAATTGAAGGAAACACACACTATCTACCATCTATGATTATTTATTGAACATCAACACTGAAAACTGAAATTAAAACACACACACACTGCCTAAAACAAACAGTCACTTTTTCCTTATAAATAACTGAAAACAAAAAAGTTGCACTTTTGGAAACAAAACTAATCGTTTTCAATGTTTTCAAAAGTAGAAAATAAGCAGTATCTCTTCTAAATAAAACAACTCTTGTATATTCTGTGACTAATATTTTAAACAGTTCACTTCTTGAATATACTGTAAACAAGCATTTTAATCTATATTACAATTTTATTGTAATAGATAATATGCCGTTTCTAGGCATCACTGGCACAGTTTCCAATCATCGTCAATGTAATGCAGACGTGCAGCTACATTTTTTTCAAGAGGTTTGCGGGTATGCAACCGTACGAAGGCTGCACCGGACCATGCCGGTGCTTTTGCCACAGAAGTATAAATTTGCCTTAACAGAGCAGGGTCACGTGACTCCACATATGGTAGTGAAAGTAACTGTAGAAAAAATTGACCTGGAAAAATTAGAACAATTATAGGTTCTGAATGTCAATTTCGATTACTTTCCGATTAATCGTCCAGCCCTGAGTTAGGATACATTAATACTGATGACGGAAAAACGAGAGATGAACAATATTGAGATCGCAAGCTGGATTCAAACTAACGACTAAAGCTCAATGTGCAGAAATCTTTGAATTAAAAACCTCTCTTGCTCAAATGTAATCAAATCATAGATTATGATACTGACACTTAAAGTACTGACTTTATTAATCCGAATTAAAAAGTTAAACAGTAAAAGTTGACAGTAACTTGAAAAGTTTATTATATTTAAATCTAAGAACTCTGGATTTGTATAAAGAAATTAGGGAACATTACAGTTAGACACTGATTATATATGTCTAATTAAACTGACAATATGACAGTATTACCACATTACACTGTTAGATTGGCTGTTGGTGTTATACTTTTAGTCATTCTGGTTTGACTTTTAAGAGGCCACAGAAACGCAAGACTCTGCAACTGACAAACAGGTACAGTTAAAGTCAGAATTATTAAACCCTCTTTTTTTTCTTTTTTAAATATTTCCAAAATTATGTTTAACAGAGCAAGGAAATGTTCACAGTATGTCTGATAATATTTTTTCTTCTGAAGAAAGTCTTACTTGTTTTATTTCAGCTAGAATAAAAGCTATTTTTTTTTTTTTAAATAAAAGCTACTTTTTTTTGATAGTCCAAAGAACAAATCATCGTTATACAATAACTTGCCTAATTACCCTAACCTGCCCAGTTAACCTAATTAGCCTAGTTAGCTTTTAAATTTCACTTTAAGCTGTACAGAAGTGTCTTGAAAAATATCTGGTAAATTATTATTTACTGTTATCATGGCAAAGATAAAATAAATCAGTTATTAGAAATTTATTATTAAATTTTATTATTAAGTTATTAAAACTATTATGTTTAGAAATGTGTTGTATAAATATGCTCTCCATTAATAGAAATTGGGGAAAAAAATAATAGGGGGGCTAATAAATCAGGGGGGTTGATAATTCTGACTTCAACGCCATGTCTTAATAAAAAAAAGAATTAAAAGAAAAAAATCTGTGACAATTACAAATTGCCATTCTGTGATGAATACAATTGTTACAATGTTGCCATCAATGTTGAAACTGTTCAAAAGCTTAAAGGGAAAACTTTAAAGTTTTAGTACACTCTATCTTCTAAATGTACCCAAAAACTTTTGAGTGATGACAGCTTTCCCAGTGAACTCATATTGTCAGGCATTCCACAAGGATGTGTCTTAGGACCATTTTCATTTCCTCTACTGTACTTGCTTCCTTGATGACCACAGCAGCATTGGCTGCATGAAGATTCAGCATACCCCCCTTTCACACCATCACACACATTTAAAGTACTTTAAAATAGATGTCTCTTTTACCACAAATGACAATTCCTTTGGTGGCCTTTTTTTTTGCAATTTACAAAGGCCTTTGTAATGCAGCATTAAGAACTGTTTTAAAGTACTGTCTGCTAGAATTGTTTTGGGGTACATTAAGGAGGGTCTGATGGTTGTGGAGAGGAGCTCAGCAAGAACAAATGTTCTCATGTCAGAACTATATAGCCTAGAATTTTTCTCATCAGAATGAACTGTCAACACCAGATCCTGTCTCAACTCATCAGCTGTGGTCAAAAAAATCTTTGGTAAGCAATACTGACAGTTTAAGTACACAATGAATGTACCCCATTTGCCTAGGTAGCTGACATCACAAGTATGAACAATTAGCTTATACGAAAGAAAAAATATGTATTTCTCAAAGAAGTATTTTAGCCAAATATTATAAAACCCTTTGATGGCTTTTTCATAAAACTATTCCCACGCAGACAGACGGTGAGAGTCACTGATCACTTCTTTAAAGTCAGTTACGTAATTAATGAAAACCAGCACGCTAATGCAAAGGCATGTTGAGGATCACAGCTTTTCGCATCAGTTCAAGATGTGCCCTGCCAATTTACTGTACACTGGAAGCCATACAAAGGATCTGAGCCTTTTTACATTCCATAGGCACATACATTGTTGGATGCTAAATGATTTTAGTGCACGCATAAAGAGAATGACACAATTCTAGAGGAACTTTAACACGCTGAGCCTCACCGAAGACCTGGTGGCAGCCAAAAAAATAATTAAAACGAACAGAGAACACATTAAACTAATTATTTGCAGCTAGGGAACTGCAATTTGCAGACATAAAAGCTCATACAGTAGGTCTGAATATCTTGATACTAAGAGCTAGGGCTGCAAATTAAAAAATAATCACAACGCTACACAATTGTCACATTACACAGGCTGCGATTTATACATGCTACTGGTTTAAGACCAAAACACAGCATTTCTTATCATGATCTACATGTGTATAAATGAAAACTACTTTGAAACCAGTAACATATATTGTTACGCGCCAGCACCCTACCAAAAACTATATCATCATATCGTTATGATAATGGTTTCCTGAAGATAAATACCAAAAATCAACACAACTGGATAAACTACAGCAGTCATGATCGTGGATCTCATATGAAGCAAGAGATCGTGATGACATGATGACGTGAGCGGGTGTTGTAGTAATAATAATAATAATTCCTTACATTTATATAGCGCTTTTCTGGGCACTCAAAGCGCTTTACACAATGGGGGGGATCTCCTCATCCACCACCAGTGTGCAGCATCCACCTGGATGACGCGACGGCAGCCATTTTGCGCCAGACCGCACACCACACACCAGCTGATTGGTGGAGAGGAGACAGTGATGAAGCCAATTGAATATGGGGATGGTTAGGAGGCCATGATGGACAGAGGCCAGTGGGCAGATTTGGGCCAGGGTTAAACCCCTACTCTTTTCGAAGGACATCCTGGGATTTTTAACGACCACAGAGAGTCGGGACCTCAGTTTAACGTCTCATCCAAAAGATGGCGCTCACTGAGCAGTATAGCGTCCCCGTCACTATACTGGGGCATTAGGACCCACACAGACCGCAGGTTGGGCGGCCCCTGCTGGCCTCACTAACACCACTTCCGGCAGCAACCTAGCTTTCCCATGTGGTCTCCCATCCAGGTACTGACCGGGCGCAGCCCTGCTTAGCTTCAGTGGGCGACCATGTGAGAGTTGCAGAGAGCTAGCTACCGGCAAATAAGGGCCGGTATAAATAAGGTTTCAAGGGCCAAGTGGAAGGGCTAGGGTTACAACAATAGAACTGAGATTAGGCCTTACTGACAGGCTTTCCTTTAGCTTTTTGCCTACTGTATTAGGGGTCGCCACAGTAAAATAAACAAATAACTCATTTTACATCTCGCCACAACCAAGCTCTATGATTGCCCTACCCCATGCAAGCCCCAGTGCCGGAGAAAAACGTATTCTACCTTTACGACCTACACCAACTGAGACGGAACTTACAAACTACTCACAGAAAGACTAAGTCAGTACTCAAATCAGGGACTTTCTTGCTGTTAGACAACCAGGCTAGACCACTGAACCGACCTACATTCAATTTAAGTTTTACAGACTGAAAAATAGTTTGAAAAGACCATTCACTTGACCTTCCATAAACATCTCAAAAGTTTAAATCCATGCCCATCACAAGAGTCCATGGAAATTTGTCTCAGAGATGAGATTTATGTATGTTAAGGGGGCAAAAGTCTTATGTAGAAATTCATAATTCAGCAAATGTGTTCACACGCATGCACCTCTCAGCTTCCCCTTGAGCGCGGGCGCATTGCCAGTGGGCACCCAACTGTGCCAGTCCAAGAAAGAAAATCGTTTACGGGACTGTGAAACCTCCCCTTTCCAGCAGTACCAAGCAGGGAGTGGGAAAACTGGTTCTGATGGAATGCAAATGAGGAAATTGATATAAACGAGACATTTTTTCATCTCTAGGCGCGAGCCACATCCTTAACTCATCCAAGCGCTGCTGTTCAGATCTGCTCCATTCGGGTCGTTTTTATGAGGCTCTGCCGGGAATACGGTTTAGGGCCAATTAAGAAATCCCGATCCTGTCACGTTGCTAAATGCTGCAAGAGAGGCTGACGCATGGAGACCGTGATGGAAACAGAAGGCGTGATTGCATTTTGGCAGGGTGGCCATTGTAAGTTGAAATAAAAAAGCCTGCGAGATCTTGTTTTCTTTTCCGACATGCCGGGCACCAAGCAGCATGGTGCACAGGGCCAACGGGGGATCTGCTAGTGCAAAAGGCCTATGCAGGATGAATAAAGAGGTTCTTTCAAGGTGACGAGAGTCAGTGGGAGGCAGAACATTTCTTAACACTGGTCCTTCACAGAGTCGTCCTATAGCCCATGCTGCCGCTTCCAAATTTGCAACACTTGATGCAGGGATACATTAGGTTAACGCTGGCAGTCCCTGGGTGGTTGTAAGTCTGCTAAATCATCACCAGTGCTGTGCCAATGTCCAGCATTCATCCACACAGAGCAACTTCTGTTAGAGGTGCTAAAAGAGTTAGTGAAAGCACTATGACTTTAACTTTAAAGCCAATTCTATGAACTTTGCTGTGATGATGCAAGAAAAATACATATTTTCAAAATCGACTATATAATCCTTCTTACTTACTTTTTTAGATTTTAACACATTAAAGCACAACATGCTGTCAGCAGGCTAAAACTCACTTCAGGCAGTTGCGTCTTTCTAATGTATCTTATTTAAAGCTTTACAGTAAATAACAAACAACACTACAGTAGGGTGAGCAGATGTTCCTGTTTTTCAGGGACAGTCAATTTTTTGTTGTCTTGTCCCAGACTGGAGTTGTTTTCAGTAAATTTAAAAGCATACAAAATGTATTGGCCTCAAATTTTAAATGCACTATAAAAACTGTAAACAAATTCATTTAAAACATAAATGTAATTCTAAAGTTAAGTAAGCAATGTTTAAATGTTTAAACAAAAAATGAAATGAAACTAATTAAATGATTTAATGAACCCAAAAACTCCTGATAGTTGTACAAAATGTAATGGAGAAGTGGGTACCTTTTATCATTGTGTTTGGTAACGCAATAAGACAAAAGGAGACCCTTATTATGATTGGTAAATTAATTGAAGAAAATAAACATTTGGTTCCTAAATTATGTCCATTTCATATATATACCCTGTAAACTTGGATCTGAACACAAAAAAATGGAAACAATTAGATTTTAGATTACTCCAAGCAAAGCGTGTTATTGCTTTAAATTGAAAAAATAAAAAACTCAAATGACATCCTGTGGTCAGTGGATTACAGAAATGACTAGTAATCTTGCTCTGGAAGAGCTGACATACACTGTTATAAAGAACGACAATACTATATAAGAAAATACTACTATAATGCTATAAGGAAAATTACAAGATTAACCAGGTGGACCATGCAACATTTTTGATGTTTGTGCTTTTAAACCCTTGTTAATGTCTTATAGTATTGTTCAGATGTCTTACATTTCACCAACAATTAACAAATTAGTTTAATCAGTTTACACTTGAAAGCTGGGAAATGCATTATTTTTTATTATTATGTACTGCTCTTATTTGAATTTATTTACATATTTATTTTCACCTTTTTAACCATTTGTCTTTTTTATATATTTTGTTTTGTAGTTCAAACAAAACCCAATAAATATATTTTGGGGGAAAAAATTAATTAGCAAAATCATTATTATGTTTTGCGGTCAGTAATAGAGAAAAACAAAACAAACGAAAAAATCTTTGTATCAAAACAATACAAAATTTAAAATCAATAATCAAACCTCACTGACCAGATAGTTGGCCCAGGGTTTTTTTTAGTATCACAGCAGAGCTATTGTAGTTTTTATTGATAGTTTTAATTACAGTTTTTATTACTAAGATACAACTGGTTCCCAAAATTGAATAGGAAACTTCAAGGCTCAATCGTTACCTATATTTTAAAAATCCTATACGTGTGAAACTGAATGTTCAGACATTTTCCTACCATTTGCTGCAACCCCTGCAGAATTTGCTGGAGAAAGTTTCTCAGAGGGCCAAGGTGTCTGCTAGTGTCCAGAAGAGCTGAACATGATGAAGCCTCTCCCCAGTTCACTGCTTTATTCATCCAAAACTGCACATTAGTCTCAGAAACACCCGCCATCTTCTCAAATCTGCAAAAACAAATCGACAGGAAAAATACAAGGAATTTTAATTGGTAAACTATTTATTTAAAGTCAACATCATGAATTAAAAATTGTAATCATTTAAAATTCTAAACCGAGACAGATAGAGGACAAAAATAAATGTAGTCCATCTGGAATCGGTTGTCTCATCGGATTACTGTCGTTTGCCATTGCTGCAATCTCTTGATTTTCTGGCAAGCGGAGCGACTGTACTTCAAAAGTGTGTTTCTCAATTCAAAAAAGTAGCAGAGTTCGTTATAATGATGCCTTTTGTACATAGTCTGAGATGACAAGGGTTGTAATCAGGAAATGGGAAGTTGAAAATGTGTTACCCAATTGAGGGCTCTTAATTTGTCATCAGCCTGTATTTCATGAGCCGGCCAGTTTGAAAACAGAGGAGAAAAAAAATTATAAAAGAGGCATTGGGTAGTGCAATAAAGTCTTCGTGGACCTCATTGTAAACTTCCAGAATGCTCTTAACTCAGCGCTGAAGTATTTTGACAAATAAACAAAAGCTAACAGTACTGAAACCATCAATGGAGACACATCCTCATCTGTGTCCTGCTGGGAGGTGAAGTTCTCACACCGCGGCCATGGCGTAACGGGGTAGAAAAAGCGCTCAAACAGCTTGTGTGTGCAGGAGCAGGAGTTTGTGGGTAATTGTTGTTCTTAGTCTTAATGACAGGTCTGTGAAAGACACAACAAGGGAGTGTTTTTATGATCCGCTCGTAACGGCGGAGTCGTTTAATGTCTTGCCATCACCCCTGCTGGAAAAATCCCTTGGGTGAGACAATGTAAATATATAATTAGCCTTTTTTTCCTTTTTTTTCATCAAACCAAACTATGAACAAACGCTTCTTGTTGACTTGTCATCCCCGCACAGCTTTCACCAGTCCTTCGGGGGACGCAGACGCCTGGCCAATAAACTGCCACGGCCAAGATGGGTGTAATTTCAACACAGAATACTGGTGGAGCGCTAGCTGAATTTGTACAAGTGTAAAATTATTTGGGCTGTGTTATGCGCTGGAGAGTGTCAACATTGACACGTACCAACACATACTAATGTCCTGACTGTATGCCAGACAGAAAAAAAACCTGACTACAAATGTATAATTAGGCCCCTGACAAGCAACAGTCAAGAGCAGAGTAAAACAGATCTGCCTGACAATCGTTTGATTTGGTTTGGTTGGCTGGTTAAAACCAAAATTAAATAAAGGGGTATAAAAAATGTCTGCTCAGACAGCTGGTGTCTGAGTGAAGCTATTATTGAAGCTCCATTTACCATGGTGCTAATGGATTTGACATTCTTAGCTGGAGGGCAAACATGTTTTTGTACTCCACTCAACAATGTCACATTATTTAATCATCCCTGAAGTCCCAATAATAAACTCTGCTCAGAGGATTTGATCTTTTGGTGGACTGATTGCATGTGATGTCTCTACTATTTTCAGAGTCACACTATTGTTTGATAATAAATCTTTCTTTGTATGTTTCAGCATTTTAGGGTCGACATATTATATTTAGAATGATCTGATCTAATGCTAATGAAGTTGTGGTGAAAAGGAAATCGTCGCAGATCTTTTCTTATTATTATTAATGCACAATGAAAACATCAACAGTACTTGCTTCTATTCATCAGTGGTTGATTAAACAGAGTCAGAGCTAAATGCGAGCTTGTGGTTGATTGAGGGCGAGGGGTACATTTAGGGGTACATTTAGCAGACTGAGGGTGTCTTGAGTATGATTAAAATGAGCTCTTGTGCGATTGCTGTGTTTCTGTTCAATTCATTTCAGAAAACCAGGTAAACACTAAACAAGCAGGGGGCCATTGAAAAGATATTATGAAATATTAATGCAACACAGACCAAAAACATCTAAATAAAAAAGGAAGACATGATGTAACAAGACCGAAAAAGGACAGAATGCTTAAGTATATGTGTTTTTTAATCACACAAAAAAATCTTGAGAGTCCATACTTTACCAGCCGATTGATTACATCCGATTTTTTTTTTAAATAGAAAAAGTTAGAAGTTGCACATGTTTTAAAGTTTTCAGAAATGCTTGATTTAAATTAGAAAACAAAATATTTTTTAAATAAATACTCAATTATTTGTGTTTATATTTAAAGCATGGAAATCTGAACATTGTATAAAAGCAAGGGCTGAATGACACTTAAAATATGCAAAAGTCAAATTTATTCGCCCTTCTGTAACTTTTTTTTTATATTTCTAAAATGATTTTCAACAGAGCAAGAATTTTTCAAAGTAGTTACTATATTTACTGTTCTTCTGGGAAAAGTCTTGTTTTATTTTGCCTACAAAAAAAGCAGTTCAACATTTTTTAAAAACAATTTTAAGGTCAAGATCATTATTCCCATTACGCAATATATTATTGGAATTTTCTACAGAACAAACCATGCTTATACAATTACTTGCCTAACAACCCTAACTTGCCCAATTAACCTAGTTGAGCCTTTAAAATGCACTTTAAGCTGAATACTTTTGTCTTGACAAATATCTAACAAAATATTATTTACTGTCATCATGGCAAAGATAAAATAAATCAGTTATTAGAAATGAGTTATTAAAACTATTATGTTTAGAAATGTATTGAAAAAAATCTTCTGTCTGTTAAACAGAACTTAAAACAAAACTAACTCTAATTTAGAAAAAAAAAATCTGTGTCACGGTGCAAACATTTATTCTTTAATCGACTAATGATTGGTCAAATCTAGATAAACAATCAATGAATAACATAAATGCAATTTATCACACATGTCTGCAATATTTATATTGCATAGATTATTATCACAATAAAATAATGGTGATAATAATTGTGCAGCCCTAGAAAAACCCAGGGGTCCATTCTTCGTACCTCGCTTAAATGATCTAAGATGATTTGGCAGATCCTGGAATTTTTAATCTTAATAACTGATCTCTCGCTAATTTGGTTCTTCAAACAAGTTCGCGAATCAGATTAGAATGTCTGGATAAACTGATCTGAGATCGCTGCGTGTGTTGTGAAGGACAGATCTATCGATCCTCGAAATCATGATCAGCAATGCAACGATTGGCTGACGGCACAGCAGCGTAATGACATCATCTGATTAATATTCAATTATCCATGTGAGCAAAATTACATCAAATTAGCAGTAAACGGCTTGTTTAATATGACACGCAATAACTTTCCACATTTGTTGTGAGCTGCAGGCTTCACACTTTCATTTGTCAATAGTATTTATCATGTATTTCAATGCAAATCAATGTATTTAGTTCCACATTTAGAAAATATTTTCTTTATTATAGTAGCCGTTTCTTAATCGGTGTAAAGAATAACTGGTTGTTTAAAAAAAAAGCGTTTTCATATTGGTAAAGGCGTCTGCAACTAATGTGAAGCATCAAATCACTGCATATTAACTATCAAAATATGTTTATGACTGCATAAATGTATTATTGCTTTAAAAAAAAGTCACATATTGTGCATTTCTATTTTACACAATTTGTACTAAAGTGATCTAAAAAGTTCATATCAAAAAGTTTTCTCTTTGCACCAGATGGTAGTCTTTGTACTTTCATTTCGAGGGTGCAGATTGCATAAGTTTTATTAATATGTATAACTTTATTTATTTTATTAATGACTATAACTTTATATATATAGTTAAAAAATATGTACCATTTTCCCAAGTGTATATAACTACTACTGTAAGAAAATATCAGAATTCGGAACATACTTTCTGTATTATGTTTGCTTGAACTGACCCGATCTAATCCTGTTTATATGAATTGAACCTGCTTCCGATCAGGTTTGACCTAGCAGAACTGTTGCCATGACAACAACTCTCGGATCAGCTTTGAAGAACGAAACGATCCTGGATCATGTCAAATCGTCAACATCCAAATCCAGCTAACTGAGTAATCCACGTACGAAGAACGGACCCCTGGTTCAAAATGCTTGTTTGTTTTGTTTAGTTGACATATAACAGTAAAAAGGGGCATTCTGTTTTATAAACTTAATTAAATTAATTAATTAACCTTTTCCTCAGCAAACCAGAAAACACTGCAGAAAACAACAAATTCAAGAATTACAATTACAAAGAGTTACATAATATGTCATTTAATTTGTGTATTTTGTAACTCATGTCTTGAATCGATTGACTGATTGATCATCTTTTTGTCAAATGCCCCATAGAAAGATTAGATTAGATTCAACTTTATTGTCATTAAACAATGTACAAGTACAAGGCAATGAAATGCAGTTTAGGTCTAACCAAGAGTGCAGTAGCAGCAAGTGCAGGATATAGGTAAAAGTTATAAAGTGCAATTATAAAAACAACTATGGGTAATATTTACAGATGGATGCATTATGAACATTATATACAGGTTGTAGTAGCTATGAACAGGAATTTACCACACACAGAACAAACCTATCCTCCTTGGTGGGTGAAGAATAGGGGTCAGCGGCCTCAGGTGGTTGTGACGTAGCTGACCCCAGACCATTTGTTCATGCAATGTTAGGAGGCCGGCAATGTTTAGCCTTGGGTGACACAGGGGCTCACGTTAGCATCACTAATATTCCTCTCAAAACGACTTCAGAATACATGTACATTGATGGACTGAATAACACTAAACTGTTCTTTAAATCTGTTCCTGTTCCTCTACTTGCTGATTCTCAGAAAGTATTTTGAACAGAATTTAGGGTTGGGGAAAACCTAAGATTTTAAAGATGAATTAGCGCACAAGTGTTTTGGTCCAACTTATCTGTTCTTTTTACTTATTCTTTCACTTATTCTTGTTCTTAACATTGATTTTTCTGTGTGCATTACTTTTCACTTTTCTCACAACAAACTTAACATAGACCATATATGCAACTTATTTATTTTAATGGGCAAATATTATATTCGCAAATGTAAACTTTCTACACCATTACCTAATTTGCAGAATTTTCATTCATTCGTTCATTTTCTTTTCGGCTTAGTCCCTTTATTAATTTGGGGTCGCCATACCAAAATGAACCGCCAACTTATCCAGCATGTGTTTTATGCAGCGGATGCCCCTCCAGCTGCAACCCAGCTCAGGGAAACACCCATACACTTTTGCATTCACACACACACACACACACACACACACACAAACACAAACACACACACAAACACTACGGCCAAT